AAGCTTCGTGCTTACAGTTTACAGTTTTGGTTTCAGGTACCTCTTCAGCAAAGGGGAAGGAGCTGGCGCGGTAGCGGCACATCATACACACACATGTTGGTTTTCCGCATTAGAGTTTCTTGGGATTGTACTCTGACATTATTCTTATTTTTGGTGAATGGTTTTCAGACATGAGTTGAGGTTTTATGAAAAGTTATGATTAGATGGTGTTTTCTTATAAATGTTTTTACAAGTCAATTACTTAAAAATGAAATTTTTGGACTTGAAAATTGGGTCGTTACAGTCATCATCGTTAGCCACCACTGCCTTCAGCTCCACCTTTAGCCCCTATCGTCACCGCCATCACCAACCTCCGACAGATTTGAAAGTCGCCATTACCTACAAAAAACCATAATCAATTCCCGTCACCTGCCATGGATTCCCACCAGTCCGAAAACTCTGTCTCAAAGGTTGCTATCATTCAGGCCACCCAGTTCCCCCTGCGAAACTTTGCTTTCAATCCTCACCCTCGTCTTGTTCAGGCACCAAATTCCAAGATTGTTCCATTTATCGACATTTAAACCATATGATACACCAAAAATGAAAGGGTTGGTAACAGAAGTGAAAAGGGGTCAAACCAAATCCATGAGTCTACATTCAATTGAAGCAAAATCTCCAAAATCAAAATGAAAAATCGTTGCACATGTTCTTCGATTAATCTGAAACCCTATCTTCGATCTATGTGTCGCCGCCTTAAACTTTAGGGTTAGGTTTTTGTTGCGGGAGCTTCGATTTGAAATACCAATGGGGGAATAGCTCTGATTGACAGTCCCAGTTTTTACAAAATAAATTAGGGATTTCACAACTTTGGCGTTGGCAATCAGTGGTTTGTTGTCTTGAGTCCAAGGATCGACATGCTCTTGTAACGGCGTGCCCTAAGCGAACTTCAACCGTGGTACCGGAGGCGGTGGTCGTTGATTGCGTTTGGTGGTTGATTGTGGTCTATAGACCATATGTTGAAGATTTACCGTGGTACTGGAGGGTGTGGTTGGGGTGGGTTTTTCTGTAACAGTGAAAATCGAGCAACGGATGGAGAAGATGAACTGAGAAGGGGGTGGTGTGGTAAACCGATCCTGACAGTGTTGAAGAACACAAACAGATATAAAAACAGATGGAGAATATGAACATATTTGAAACAGATGGAGAAGACTAACCCTAGATATGATTTCTCATTCTCTTTTCTCCATCTCCATTGAGAATCCACGTGTTCAACAATCTGTTCGAGGTGTTTTTTTTGTTCTTGGTGTTTTTATTGTTCTTGGTGTTTTTATTGTTCATCTGGACAATTTTCAGGAAGAAGAAGTGGGTATTTAGAGAGAGAGGGAGAGAGAGAGAGAGAGATTTATATTTATTTATTTTTTTAATCTGAAAATCAGAAAAAAAAAAACAATTAAGAAAATAAAGGAAATGATATTAACAGGGGCAAATCCATCATTTTGAAAAAAAAGCAGAACAGATAGGACTAAACAAGCAACAAAATGAAAACTTTGGACCTCTGGTGCTAGTCCAAACCTTTTTGGACCAAAGTGACAATTTTGAGCAAACCACAGAGACCATTTGTGCAGTTTAGTCTTTCTTTATTATGTGACCCTTTTTAATTAAACCCACTATTTATTTTTTTGATTAAGATCTTTTGAGATATAATAAAATCTCATGGGGGATAATGACTTAAAATGGTAATATATTTTTTGATTTGTACACATTTAGTCACTGACTTTTTTTTTCGTCCATATTTACCCCTTCAACTTGTTAAACTGTACACATTTAGTCCTTATGACCGGCTACTCCAGGTTAGCCGGTAAAAATGACTTAATAGGGTAATATATTTCTCACTTTGTACACATTTAGTCCTTAATATTTTTGTACACATTTAGTCCTTAATATATTTTTTTGTTGCAAAATAAGTCATTTTTGTTTTTGTACTCATTCGCTACTTATAAATGATTTCTTTAGGTTTTTTTCTCACAACATCTTACGTAGGATAGCCATATGGTGGCGGTATAGGTTGAGGTGGTCCTGCTATATGTTGTAGGCCAAGATACCTGGTGTGGGTCGGCTGTAAGCCGTAGGCACGGAGGCTCGAGAAGAGCAGTTGGGTTAAGGCGACATGCCGACAAACCCTGGGTATTCCAGTTCGATGGCTGATTGGACATGTTGCGTGTTGGTATTCTAGTCGGATAACTGATTGGGCCAAAGTATTCCAATCTGATGAGTGTGGGCCCGTTATGCATGATAATGCGTTTGTTGTATCGAATATTTTGGGGGGAAACTCACTAAACTTTGTGCTTACCCAGTTGTTTATGTTTTCAGGTTCTATCGTTGATCGTGGGAAGGCGAAGACATGACTGTACACACTCATCAACAGTATTGAGGATTTCGTGTTTCTTATATTACTTTGATTTTCCATAAATGTATGTTAGAATAAACGTTTTTTTCTTAATAATGTATTTATAATTAAGGAGTTTTGCCTTATTTAAAAATGAAAATTTTTGGTTGTGAAAATGAGACGTCACACATAAACATCAACAGCCGCACACACTTCATCAATGATTGTCCCACATAAGATGTCGTGAGAAAAACCTAAAGAAATCATTCATAAGTATTGAATGAGTACAAAAACAAAAATGACTTATTTTGAAACAAAAATATATTAAGGACTAAATGTGTACAAAAATATTAAGGACCAAATGTGTACAAAATAAAAAATATATTACCCTATTAAGTCATTTTTCCGGCTAACCTGGAGTAACCGGTCATAAGGACTGAATGTGTACAGTTTAACAAGTTGAAGGGGTAAATGTGGACGAAAAAAACTCAGCGACCAAATGTGTACAAATCGAAAAATATATTATCCTTTTAAGTCATTATCCCTCATTTTTATTTATTTACTTAGAAAACCAACCAAGACCCTTATATTTCTTGTGATTATATAATAATTGATCGAACCATCCTTCATCCTTCGATATAATTTGTTATAAAAATTCAGAACGTTACAGTCCTCTTGAATCATCGATTCCGGTTCCGTTTTCAAACTGATTTTGGGCAGGTTCGAGCCGATTCGATCCGTTTTCTCACCCCTAAAAAATGTAATGCATTGTTTTCTGATCTTCTCCTAGTTTGTTGGAAACTATCTTTTAAATTGATTGAGGATGTTCAGGAGTTTGAAAAATAGTAGAGAAGAATTATGTAATTGAAAAATAGTCGGTACAGATTAGAGAACATTTTATATTTAGGAATCGTGGAACAAATAAGTGTTTATATTTGAATGTTGTATAAAAGAAGTGTTTATAAATTTATTATAATGACTATGTTTTTGTTATTATCCACATTATTTTAATTTCTCAACCATGTAGTATGTTGAAAATAATATATATTTACAATCTCATATTTATTGGATGAAAATGGAAATTATTTTTTGATAAAGGGTGTTTTGTGTTCAAAATATATTCTTTTGGTTGTTAAGATAAATTGCAGGGTAAACACGCGGGTCATAAACTCGGGTAGGTTATTGTTCGGGTTATATCCGTATCCGTGTATCTGAAGTATAAAGGAAGAGAGAGAGTGAAGAACTCTTCATTCATTCAGTTGTTTACCTGATCAAAGCATTAGAGTTTCTCTGTTAGGGTTTTCTCATTCTCTAACTTCATCTCTCTGGTTTTTGTTCATCTGTAACGTTCAAAGTCCGTATTTAGATCAGTTCTTTGGTTGTAATAGATTAGGATGGGTGATTTGTTAAGAGAGTAGATTAGGTTTTGTGTAGTGAGTTTTGGTTTGTAAGTATCTTGAAAACCTTCTGTTTCTTGATCATCAAATGGTATAAGAAATGAAGATGTAGGGAAAGTTTATTTTGTCCATTTTAACATAGTACATGAGTTTTAACCTATTAAAAATATAAAAAATTATAGATATGAAAGGTAAGGGTTTTAATCTCCCATCTTCCAAAAATAACCATTTTTTCAATTACTTTACTTGTATGCAATGCATTGTTTTTACATGTAATTGTATTTGACCAACATTGCTAGTTTGTTGATACATATAATAAATCGAATAAGATATCTAGTTTTGACAAATTTTGTAACATATAGGCCAAGTATGGAAGTCTAACAACGTCAACTTGTTCTGTTCACTCTTATAAGAGCATCTCCAATGATAATTTTTTTATAGGGTATTATTATTGACCTTTATTTTTTTTATAGCTTATTACCATTGGAGGTTAAAGCTTATTTGTTTTTTTTTTATTGACCACTCAATATATATTGAATGGTCAATATACTTCTATACTTTGTCACTTAACCCCCTCATACTTTAGATATATTTCATTTACATTCCTAAATATATTTGACTTTTAAATCTTTTTTTTATTTATTTACTAGTTAATTATTTATATTAAATATCTAATGACATTTCTTTTTATGAAATAAAAAATTATAATGATTATAATTTTTCTTTTAATATTTTTTATCACTATTTCATAATAGTTTTTTCGTATTAATTTTTCCGAACGATATGTTGTAATATATTTATTTTGAAACAATGTATTCTAATATTGTTAATAAAATTAAAATAAAACGTGTGTTTAAAAAAAATAATTAAATAAAGGGGTTTTATAGAATATTTTAGATAGACGTGGATAAATTAGTTAAATTTTTATTAAAAAAGCCATTCAAAGGGGTTAACCATTAGAATGGTTATTTAATTATAGGTTAAGTTATTAAAATGATGATTTGACAAAAGTTTTAAGTCATGTTATAACTTAACCATCGGAGATGCTCTAAGTATTTGATTCTAAGTATTTGATTGGATATTAATCGTTAAATAGAAAAATATAAAAATTAAAACATTAGTTGTTATCGACTAATGTTTTTTTATCGACTAATGTTTTAATGCTGAATTTAATCCATTGTCAGCGTATCCCATAGCCTCAATATATACACGTGTTTGATTTCTTGTACACGTGGCCACGCATGAGTATGGCATAAACGGACACTATAAAGAGGAGCATGAGATGATTGAGATCGGAAGCAGAGGAGCAACTTATCGGCAGGTAAATCTTTAACCCTAACTCTATTTCCCCTTTCATAATCTTCTTACATATGAATTGATTAGTTGTAGATTTGCGATTCATCAGCCGTTCAAATTAGGAACCCTAAATCTAATTCACCATACCTCCAAACTTTCTGAGTTTCTACTTTCTACCTACTTCAACAGACTCGATGAAATCCTGCTCTCTTTGAGTTTCTACTTCAATTCATCATCAAATTCCACCAATTGGAGTAAATCGAAGAATCTTCTAACTTCCTTGTTTGAGCTTTTCTATTGTTTATAATAATTGTTGCTATATTTATTTTTCAGTCGTTTTCAGAGTTGTTATCACAACAATTGGTGAAGTCTGTAACTATAAAGAGATCTTCCAGCTTATTTCGTTGTACAAGTTCTGCTTTATCATGGAGATTGACTCAGTCAACATAGTTGATGGTACATATTCTTATATCTATTTCTAACAATTACTTATGAATCAAATCCTTGCTCGTAATCTCCTAAATTTTGTCTCTGCTTTGATCCTTGTGAGATACCAATCCATTGCCCTTCGCTACCAGATTCATTCTCTCTAATCTAAACATAGTAGATTTTCACAGGTCACCAAGTCGGCACAAAAAATGAGACTTCGGAACCTGTTAAACAGGAGAGGGTTTTGGCCGGTGACGGAAAATGTTATTCCTCTACAGACACTGTTCAGGGAAACAAAGCTGATACAGGCGAGGAGGAGGGAAATGTAGCAATGGATTCGGGTGGTGGTGATGTGAATATGGAGGCTTCAATCTCAGCTGATGATGTAATGCGGGCAGGTGGGTTTGGTGCTAGAGACGACATAAGTAATTTTCTTCCTGTTGCAAGTGATTCCACCGACTTTGAAGCTTCGTTACGTGATGCCAGAGATTATGAAGAGCCACAAAAGGAGATTTGCAGACCAGGGCTCGGCTGGAAAGACGTGAAAGAGTAAGATTGCGGTTGGTCCTTTTGGTGCTTCTTCCGTGGACGCATTTATGTCATATTGGAAAATGAAAACTTGAATGTTTGGCGATGTAGTTGTCGATGAATGTTTTCTATACTAATGATCATGGACGGATAGCAAGCACGGATCTTTGTAGCTAACGATGTTTCTTTATATCCAATATATCAACTCTTATTTGAAAATACTTTTAATTAGAATTTGATTATCTCAAAAAAAAAAAAAATAGTCTTCAAAAGACGAATACGAATCTTTATGCTCATAATTTGGTTTATGTTTAGTCCATAAGGTAAGGCTGGAGCGTAAGGCCACAGCTTCATTTTGCCATACTCCTTTACCACATAGGATTTATGTATGTGGTATACCATGAAAGAGAAAAAAGAGATAGAGAGAGGGAGAAAGAGAGAGAGGAGCGCTCCTATTTTTGGCCTACTCTCCAAACCGTAATGGGGCGGTGTTCACTATACCACATAGCTATCACTTGCCTACTCTCCAAACCGTAATGGGGCGGTGTTCACTATACCACATAGCTATCACTTCATTTTTATCGCACTCCACTATTCATAGCCTAAGATGATGTGACATGGTAAACAGCGTCTCATAGCTTTGTGCAGAACCGTCCTCGTCTTATTCTTTGACAACTTTTACCGTTTTAGTTTTGATTTAAACGGTAAAATAGGGTCCAACGATGCAAAATAATGTTAATATTATTATCTTGGTCAAGGGTGGAGCTAGAATTTTAGATTAGCGGGGCTTAGACGGACATCGTAGACTATATATATATATATATATATATATATATATATATACCATTTGAATGAGATATATGTCTATATGGTAATTTATATTATGTACGTGAGTTTATATTCTTATATAAAAAAAAAAGATTGTAATAAGCTACAATGTTACTTGACTAGTAATACACTAATATCAATGGAGTTAAGGGGCACAACACCCACTAGCCCCCTACTGGCTCCGCCCCTGCTTGGTTGATAAATAGAATTCTACATATAAGGTTTAAACTCTAACTACCTAAAATATTGTTAGTTGTTAATGTTACGCTTTCCACATGGGTCTTGAGTTGGTTAGTGTTATGTTTTACATGTACGTCTTGAAAGAGTTGAGGTATGGTATAACTTACTTTTAATTCTAGTTAATATTTATATAATATAAAAATAATAAAACATTGGATGTGAGGAGCAAATCGAGTTGATAAAACAAGCAAAAAATCGAAATAAATCCACAACGAAATAAAACATGGGATGAGAGGACTGACCATATCGGTTTACATGAGCGATCAAATCTACAATAAACTAAAATCATAATGCCAAATTTGCAACAATTATATATTTAGGACCAGACATGTAACAAATGGTATAGTATAGGGACTAATCTGTAATTTATTCTTGCGAGTAATTATGAATCCTGGTTTGTGTGCGCGGGGAAAATATCAAACGGAGGTTTGCGGCTCCCCCTCGAGCACCGGCCCTTGCTCTCCGTGAGCGGCGACTGCCGACTAGTAAACCCCGTCAATTTTGTAGCTGTGTGAGACTAGAGGAGGCGTTGAAACATCTGGCGAAGATGAAAATTTGACAAAATGGTTCGTCAGAAACCCTAAAGAGCCCAGCTACAAGATCAGAAGCTAAATGAGTTCAAAAATTCCTTTCTTAATCAAGTCTATTGGATTCCATAATGTCTTCCGACCGAGTCCACTCTTCAGTTTCCTTTCCACCTGCAAGCAACAACAGGTTCTCTGTCTCAGTCACCCTAATCACCTTATTTCTTTTGCATTTGTGCCGTTCCTTATGTAACATGTTTTCTGAGCTATATTTGTGTTTTGCTTCTTGGTGTTTATGAAAAGTTCAGAATCTCAGAGGAAGAATCACCGCGAAAAACATGAGCCATTGTTATATTTCATCTACAGGTAATCAGAGCCCCCCCTCCCCTTTTTATGCATACCTTTTGTATATAGTATAACCCGCCGTTAAATTATATATTTGTTCGGTATCAGCACATATTTGATTGTCTTTATGCATCTCCTTGAAATATCTAATATAATATATGGATAGACATTGATTCGTCCATAGTTGGTAGGAATGATACAGTCAGATTAACCTACATCTCAAGTTTATTAGATTAACTCTGTAATAATCTGTAGTTGCCATGTGGAATTGGATTCTAATTCCTGCAAATCCCATGGAGGGCATTATGAAGTTGTGATCAGCTTTTCTGAGGGTGTATAAATCTGTCCATGTCAGTTATAATCTCATCTTGGTCTAAATTTTCTTGTCATTGACTATTATATGCTTGCAGTTGAAGCCTCAGACCTAGAAGATGATAAACTTCATGATGATATTAAAGCTGCAGAAAAGCATACAGCTCTTCATTCAGCCCTATCAGAACTTGCAGGTGATTTTGATGGGGAGTCTATGTTGTTCTTGCAGCGATTTTTTCGCACAAGAGTGAAACCTGTAGTATCCACAGGCTCCTTGAAGCTTGATCTTGCTCTTGGAATTGGAGGATTACCAAAGGTAATTAGATTAGTAGCTTCTTATATGGCATTAGCAAATTACACACATACATAATAGTTAAATCATTGTGAACCCTAGAATAATAACAACCAAAGTGTACATTACAGGGAAGAATTGTTGAGGTTTATGGGCAAGAGGGATCAGGCAAGACAACACTTGCTTTGAATGTAATCAAGGAAGCTCAAAAGCTTGGAGGTGCATTCCAATATTGTCTAATTCCACATATAAACAATGCTGGTGTTTCACATTTTATGATGATTAGAAGTTATTTTTGGTAGGTTATTGTGCTTACTTGGATGTGGAGAATGCACCGGACCCACTGCTGCTTGAAACAGTTGGTGTAAATACCAAAAATCTTCTCATCTCACAGCCAAATTCTGCTGAAAATTTGCTGAGTATTGTTGACACTCTCACACAGAGTGGAGCAGTTGATGTGATTGTTATCGACAGTGTAAGGAAAAATCTTAGCAAAAGACATAAATGCCCTCCTCTCTTCATCATCAAACCCACTCTTTCAAATCTTGTCCAATCGATCTCTTGGTTTTCTAATTCATTGACTTTATTTCTATAGGTTGCTGCACTCATCCCACAACGTGAAATTACAGGTGTAATAAGTGACAATATCATTGAGACACAATCACGAATAATGACACGAGCACTCCGCAAGATTCATTATTCTTTATGTCGTTCAGATACTCTTATTATATTTATAAATCAGGTTTGTATAATATATATAGTTATAAAATCAGTTTAAATATGTGATAGCCAATTGTAACTCTTGTTTCTAGGTGAGATCAAATTTGAGATCACACCAAGAGGGACTTAGAGTAAATGAGGTGACATGTGGTGGAAACGCCTTGCCATTTTATTCAGCTGTACGGATGAGAATTGCTAGAAAAGGATTGCTCAAGACACAGGAAAAGGTTAAAATAAAAAATAATTATTATTATAATGATAATAATAAAAGTAAATAGATATATCTATTTTCAGGTTACTGGTCTTGGTATATGTGTGGAGGTGGTAAAGAATAAGCTAGCACCTGCTATGAAAAAGGCAGAGCTGGAGATTGAGTTTGGAAGAGGCATATCTCGTGCATCTGAGGTGCTACAATTGGGTTGTGAACATGGGGTTGTGTTAAAAGAAGGAAATAGCTACTTCATAGAGGGAGAAGTTGTCAATGGTAAGATGCAAGCTGAAGCTTATTTGATTCAGAATACAATAATTTGTGATAAGTTGGTAAAGACTCTAAGAAGACACTTGTTTCGTATTGAACAAGATTCTGAATCATGATACAAATACTTCCGAAAGATTGAGGACAGAATAAGTTGCAATTTGTTTGACATGCATTGGATTAGGATTCTGGTTTAGAGTACTGTATATTCCGGGAACATTTCAGTCATTTAGTTATTGTTGGCAAACTACTAGTAAAATGTATTTGTTGTATGTGAACTTTTAACTAATATATTTTCCAAATTTGTTTAGTTACTATTAGTCTTTGTTGATTTTTAACTAAAATATATTGCAAATAATTTAGTATCACTGTATTAAAATAAAATATTTATGAGACCATTCAAGAGTGCCAAACTGTGGAGGAGTCATGGGAGACTTTTGTTTTTCTTTTTGAAAATGCAATGACTAAATATATGTGAGAAAAGGTATAATATTAAATAATGTTTAACCACCTCAAAAATATTACTGGTCAATTTGCAATTCAAGTTTTGTATGTATACCTTAGGAAAGTATGTCTATTTAAATATATAATTGATTTTGAACTATAATAACAAACAATGAGATTACCTCGGAGACTAGCAAGATGTACGAGTGAAGATTAACATTATTTCCTTGAGTTCAACCGAACAACGGAAAAAGCAAATAGATGGAAGTCAGAAGAAAATTAAAAGAAATTGGTGTTTCTCAATTTCATTAAAAGAAGGAAGTGAAAAGAAATGGAAAGAAATAGAAATAAAACTTCACTCCTAACTTTCCTTTCAATTTGGAAGAATTTGTAGAGAAAATAACAAAATATTTATTTTTTTCTTTTAATTATTCTGAAACCCAGAACACAAAATACAATTGTTGGTCTTAAACCCTAACACTTGTGTATGAATCTAATAGAAATGCGGATTAATAACACAAGTATTTCACAAAGATGTCTTTCACTAAGAAAGGTTCTCACAAAGAGAACGGGTGCACAAAGCAGTTGACACAAAGCCAACGAGTGCAATTTAAGATCTCACCAAGAACTCTCAGATCTATCTTTACAAAAACTCTAACTCTCATAATACAATACAAATCATCAACTCTAAACTAATGAGAGAGGCTAGTATAAATGCTAATCTAAACGTAGGAGATAAAACTTCTGTAGATTCACCAGATCTTGGCTTATATCAAATCCATGAGATTGATTCTTCAGTTATAAATGTAGATATGGTATATAAGAAATGGATCAGACCAGATCTTCAGAATACTTCTTCACTAAGTAAATCTTATCTGCTCCATATTCGGACATCAACACCAGCACAACACACTGATCAGAGCATCAACGTCAGCGTCTGAGAGTTACACACTGATCATCTTTAGCTTCAGCTCATGCAGCCCCAGCTTCAACAGAGTATAATCATCAACGAGTGTCATCAATGTATCACATGATCAGTGTGTCATCAGTGTAGGACCTTCAACGTATGGACACACTGATCAGTCTTCAATGAATGGTATCTTTGTGCCTTTGGTGCTGATAGAGTCTTCAGAGTCTTTTGCTCATCAGGAGATGATCTTCAGTCTTCGACATATGAACTTCCATCAACATATCTTCAGATTGACTAACTACACAAGCTCTGACAGATCAGCTTGTCTAAGTTGTATTATCTACAATTACTTAGACAAGATTGACTATCTACAATGAGCAGATAAACTATAACTATAATGTATATATTTTGTATCATCAAACCTATACAAATATGTGACCCAACAACAATTTTCTTGCACTTTCCTTTTTCTTCTTAGTTTCCTTCCTTTCTTTTATTTTCTTTGCTAAAACTCAAAAACTAAACGTAAGATCCTAATTTATAGGAAAAAGGTAATGCCTAAAGTTACAGAAATACCATGAAACCAAGAGTAGTTATGGGAGAGAGAGTAATGGAGGTTGGGTTAAATGCACACAATTGTTTTAGAAACTTATTCGGTTTCATTCTTGGGTGGTTGACAATTGAGTCGACTCATCTCCTTAGCCATCGTATGGAGAAATAGGGCTCTCCATATGGTGTTCATTGACCTATAGAAGACGTATAATAGTATCCCTCGTGAGGTGATTTCGAGGACATCGTAAGGTAGAGAAGTCCTCGAGAGATGTCATAACTATGTGTGATATGTATTGCCGGTCTACAACATGTTTTTAGACCCCTGTCGGAGACACATTATCATTCCCGGTATAAATTAGGCTCCATCAAGGTTCGGCCTGAATCTGTATATATTTGCCTTGATATTGGGGATGAGATGTCTCGTGAGATCGTGGGGAAAGTACCTTATTGAATGCTTCATGTTGGTGGCAAAGTGTAGGACTATGTTGAACGCCTGGTTGGACACATAGAGGTCAAAGTTAGAAGATAAAGGACTACAAAATTAGAATCAACATTGTTAAGACAAAGTATCTTTAGGGTCTATGACCGGTAAAAAAGAGGATATAGAGGTAAACGTCACAACTAACATTAATGTGGGTTGTTTTCAAATGAAGGGCAACCTCAAGAGTCTTATGTGATTTGAAGGTTCTATTGAAAATTAATCGGAAAATTTTATAGGGTAGTCGTTGACGTATCATTATGTCTTGAATGTTGGTGAAACAAGGAGCATGAGAGAGAGGAAGAATCCCATTTTTTTGTTTGCCTCATATGAGGTCCTCTTATTCTTTTGCTTATATTATTATTTAGTATTTACTCATGTATATGTGCTATTGCTCAGATTAACTTACCTTCTCTTTGTTTGCTTAATTTACACATGATTTTCGTTTTGCACAGTGAAGTAGTCGAAGAAGACTCAAGGCTTCAATGTGGTCAGTTTGAGACTTGTAGTTGCTGTTGTATAAAGGTCGAAGACTTTCTAGTTCTATGTGTCTATTTTAGCCGTAACGAGGCCTAAATCTATGCCGACATTATTATTTTTTATCTGTGGTCTATTTTTCTGTAACGTTGGTCTACCAATAAAACGTAATAAAAAGTTGAAGTCTGGTTGGTAAGTGAATGTGGGTCCATTCTTATCCTTATCCAAGATTGGAATATGGAACCCTCAATATCAATGGACATGAGAGTATGATCCATGTTACAAAACTGCACACTGATCTCGAAAATGAACCAAACAAAACAAAAATGGCCACCATATCTCCCCTACCAACTCTCTCCGCCTCCAACAAACCATCTGTTCATGGTCGCACCACGTCGCCCTCACCTACACTTCAATTTCTGAACCAGAACCAGAAGAAGCGGGGATCTCTGACTGTGGTCTCCGCCGTGGGTGATGTATCCTCCGAAGGCACAACTTACCTGATCGCCGGCGCAGCTGCCGTCGCACTGCTGGGAACAGCATTCCCGATACTTTTCTCACGCAAGGACACGTACGTTTAACAAATCTTATCCACCAACGATTCATCATTTATATGTATTATATATTATATATGTATTGTGGTTAATTGATGATTTAATTCGATTATGTTTGCGTTTGGCAGGTGTCCTGAGTGCGATGGCGCAGGGTTCGTCAGGAAATCGGGTGTGACGTTGAGGGCAAATGCAGCCCGGAAAGACCAGACTCAGATCGTTTGTGCTCGTTGCGATGGTTTAGGCAAACTCAATCAAGTTGATAAGTAGGCTGCTTATTGTGTTTTGCTTCTTTGAATCTATGGTTTTGATTCTGGCATAAATGTTCTTTGTTAACTCACAGTCTAATTGATTATATATAAAATGTTTTCCAAGTTTTCATGTAATTAAGTCAGTTAAATCATGTAAATTTGCGATTTGTGTAACAAACTTGTTCGTGAAGATCAAATGGTAATTACAATGCGGATAATATTGATAAGCATCAATGGTTTATCTATAGAATAAGGGTTAGAAATGAGGAAATCTAAGAAAAGTCCCAAATATTGGGGAAAGTTTAAAAAAAGTTAAAAAAAGACCTAAAATTTTATTTTTGAACATAAAAGTCTGATTATTTTGAGAAAATCACATAATCTGTCATTTGCCGTTCAAATATAAAAAATATTTTTTTCGTTAATTTGGGCAAAATGATAAATAATCAGGATTTTTCTATTAAAAAAAAACTTTTAAGACTTTATTAATATTTTTTGCAAAATAACAGGATTTTTTGCATTAATCCCGTAAGAAAAGATGGGTTTGAATAATACCGATAAGCATGTTGATTTGTTAGAATTCATGGGATTCAACGTGTATTAAAATTCAATACCACTTTATTACGGCTTTTGGTTACATGTTAACTCGTTAAGCATGTTGAGTCGTTAGAATTCATGGGATTCAACTCGTATTAAAATTCACTACCATTTTATTACGACTTTTGGTTACAAATTAGCGTAGAATTGAATTCCATTAAAAATCCAATGAAGGAAGGAATTTATCTTTCCTTCCATAAAGTTGTGAAATCTAATTCAAATCCGCTCATATATATGTAAATAAAAGTCGATTGAGATTTTATCTATGACCATATTAAGCTTTACAAGATGGTGCTTGTAAAGATCCTACTGGTATGAACTAATCTTCGAATTTGTTTGCAAGGACTTTTTTGTGCATAACTCTTGTTTGTACGGTACTCGTTATAACTTGATATAGATGAACATCGATGTTGGAATCAATTTTAACTTATTAAACAATAATCATAACTTTTTAGATGCAAACCAAAACAATTTTGAAGAAAATATCTTAAACAGAAAAAGAAACAAAATCATCGTGACAATTTACAACTAAAGGCTAAACTCAATTTCAAGCAAAATGTACAACTTTTTAGGCGATGCATGAGATTTTTTGGCACAAGTGACGAATCTATTGTGTTTAGAAGACTAAAGACTAAAAGAGTGAATAAATAGTTAAATACTAATGATAAAGAGACTTGTCAAACGTAACAACTTATTGGTTTACCTTGTTTCCCTTAAAACATATCTCTTCATCATATAAAGATTATTCTTCTTTCATGCACCCTTAGATGAATTTATCATTTATAAGAGTATATACACATTTCCAAAGGTATTTGATAAAATATTTAAGATTTCCTTTAATCATGAGATAAATGTAATTATGTATTTTGCTATAGATAATGTAGCTATAATATCCAAATCAACTTGATGTTTATCTTCATAATTCTGGTAAAGTAATGTTTTTTAAGTGCAAGAGTGAAATCCAGTTGTGAGCACAAACATAGGTTCATAAGAACCTTCGTTTAAGATATCGTTCATGTGATGTTCAATAGTGTAAAGAGACATAACCAATTGTTTCTTCTAGAAAAAGAAAGCGATTACTTGCAAAATAAGGATTTCTTGATAGATTTTACATTTGATATAATCATGAGCGTTTTGATGATTAAGGATAGGGAAAGAATTTAAATTAGGTTTGAGTAGATATTGATCATTGAATAGAATCTTCTCTAATACCATTTATTAGGTTGATCATGACATATACAATTTTCAGGGCCTTTATTATGACCAATACTTTTCAATGCCACTATTTTTATGTTATTCTAGAAGGATATCCTTTCTACTTACAAAAAGGATCAAGTGTATTACGATAGACATTGATTTTAAATTATTGATTGTATTTATCTTTATCCATCTCACATCTTTCCTAGTTGGGATCGGTTATTGTAATGTATAAATACCCATTCATATCAATGAGAAGGCAAGCAAATTTGTTTTATATTTACTCTTTCTCGATTTAGCAGCGAAGCCGAATACCGAGGTGTCGCTAACGTGGTTGATGAGTTTTGTTGGTTACGTAATTTGCTCCTCGAGCTTCACACCCCACTTCAGAAAGCAACTCTCGTTTATTGTGACAATGTTTCAACCGTTTATCTCTTGGGTAATCGTGTTCAACATCAACGTACTAAACACATTGAAATGGACATCCATTTTGTTCGTGATAAAGTTGCCATTGTCTATGTTCGTGCTCTTCACATACCTACATCTTCACAAAATGTCAGTTGTTCCTCGACTTTCGGTCCAGTTTGAGCATTCGTCCTCCTCCCGTTCTAACTGAGGGGGGCTATTAGTGATAGATATTAAATGGCGATAGACACTGAATTTAAATTATTGATTGTATTTATCTTTATCCATCTCACATGTTTCCTAGCTGGGTCGATTATTGTAATGTATAAATACCCATTCATATTAATGAGAAGGAAAGCAAATTTGTTTTATATTAAAGTGGATTGTACACTCTTGAATCGGTCGATAAATAACAACACTTAAAAATCTTCACAGATGATCTGGATCAGTCTTGAAAAACCAAGTCCGATTAAGATATTCTTAGATTATTAGGTATGAGCAACATGTTAAGGCATGTTATCACATATCATGTCACCCATGGTGTTATAACACGGATTGATGAAATAATGTTGAAATGTTAGACTATAGGGAGTGGGTGCGGTTTGGCCGCAACCCTTACCACGGTGGCACGGGGAATACACCCCCTATGCGGTCTCCATAACAGTCTCGCTGCACTGTGGTTGAATTTGGCAGCACTTTGCTCCTTCCCTTGACCGTTTGAACTTTGAACGGTCAAAATGTTGTGAATTTTATTATTTTTATATTTTTACCTATATATAAAACCTATCATCCCTTAATTTACCAAACTTCAATCAAATTTCTTTATCTTTCACTATCTTTTTTTCAAAAACTCTCAACATGTCTTCTTCCAACAACCCAAACAACCAAAAAACACTCATTATAAACCCCAACACCTTCTTATGATCAATCGATTTATTCGACCCCGTTTTATTACTACGGCGGTATGCTACCGTATTATCCACAACAATTCTCACAACCATAACGACCAACACAAACACAAACACAACCACAACCCCTAACCGACCCAGATTTTAATCCGTTTGAATTTTTGTCTCAACCTGGATTTGTTCAACAAACACAATCACAACCACAAACACCCATTTCTGATTCCGAACCCGAATTCGTTCAATAAACTCAACTCACTCAAGCACCAAATAAAAGAAAAGAGAAGCCGATGGCTATATGATGGGATCTCGAAGAAGCGTTCGTATTGGCACAATCATGGATCGATATTTCAGAAGATGCGACCACAAGAAAAGACCAAAAACATAACCATTTTTGGATGTGGGTTACAAAAAGGTTCCACAAAAGAATGAAGCTTCTTGAGTATGATCAAAACACCAAATTTACCCAAAATGGGGGGAGACAAACAAGTAAGTCATGTTATTTAATGATTTGTATAACAACTTAAAACGTCTACGGAAAAGCAGAGAAAGTGATGAAGTCATTTCGAAGAAAGCTCTAAAAGTGTACCAAAAAGAAACAAGAAGGCTTTCAAGTTTATTGAATTTTGGAATCTCGTGAAAGATAACAAAAAATGGAAAGTGAGCAAAACATCCGAAGAGCATATCGATAGTGGTTCAAAATGCTCAAGAACATCTGATTCCGACCATACTATATATGATGCTCATGTTGGTTTTGACCTCAACGATGATGTACCCGTTCAAGTTTCACCACCTTCCCGACCAATGGGAAGGGACACAGCAAAAAGCAAAGACAAAGGCAAAATGTCCGATCTGGATGACTTGAAAGAAATCGGGGACGATATGAAAGGTATAAAAGAAAGAATGGACAAAATTTTGCAAATTGATTCCGAAAGAGAGCTTCGAAAATAAAAGGGATAGTGACATGAAGATACTAATGATGAACACATCGAACATGATCGGGAAGAAGCTTAAAGTTGTTATGGCGATGAAAGTCAACGTCAAAAAACGTTATGCTAAGTAGGTAGGTTTAAGATTGTAGATTTTAATTGTTTGATGTGTGTTTTTTTAAAGTTTGTAGGTTTAAGATTTTTAGTTTTTTTCCCTAAGTGTTTAGGATTTCTTTTAATGTCATGTTATGTTTTTTTTTTAAATTTTTTTATCAATACAATGTAATGTTTGTTTTTATTTTGAAGTAATGAAATGTTATGATTTTTTGTATTAAAAATGGAGTTTTTATTTAAATTTAATTATTAAAAAAAAGTATGGCACCACTCCTAGTGTGTGGCTATAAACCACACTTTTGTGGTAACAAATGACATGACGCCTATGTGGCAGTGAAGAGAGTGTGGTAAGAGTGACACCACTCCCTCCAACCTTATAACCTGTTGAGAGAGAGAGAGAGAGAGAGAGAGAGAAGAAGAAGAAGAAGAAGAAGAAGAAGAAAATGATGATTAGTTGATTTCTCCCATTGAGACATGTTATCGTTATTACATCTTATAACATAACACCCCTTAACATGAAAGAGGGTGATGTTCCTTATGTTATAACTAGGGTAACAGGTGTCATCTCATCCATAACACCATATAGTGTTGCCCATACCCAACACCTTTACATATAAATGTGTCTTTTTAATGGCTCAATCTGAATAACACATGTTTCCCTTTTGAGTGCTAAAACAAATACAGTTTGACTACTAACATGTGTTTCCCTTTTGATAACTAACATGTCGATCACACAAAAATATGCTATTGAGATAGATTGTGTGAACTTATAGCCAGTGGCGGAGGATAGTTAGGTCTAGGAGGGGCTTTGGCCCTCCCTGTTTTTTTTGCTTTGAAGTAGTCATTAGCCCAAATAATTTTAATATATATTAGCCCAAAAATAAAAGAAATGGGCTGTGCACCCCCCCCCCAAAACCTCGGATTGACGACCTTTTTGATCAGCTTCAAGGAGCTTCATGCTTCTCAAAAATTGACCTTCG